TCCTCGTTCTCCTCATCCTCCTTTTCTTCCTCCTCCCCTTCCCCTCCCCTGTCTGCTTCTTCTTGTCTCTGTCCTCCTCAGCGACGTTCGCTCCGCCCCCTATTCTTCCACCTCGCGATCTCAGTCGCAGCGCGGACTAGATGTCTAGCCGGACGTTTTTACTTGGACGATCACATCTGGACGAGGTAAGTGGGCGAGTGCACGCGGACGAGTTTACCCAGGCGAACTTGTCCGAGCGATTTTGTCCGAACGGCCACACCGAACGAGTTAGTTCAGACAGGCTCCCCTGACCGAGTTCCAGCACAGTTTCCCCCGACGAGCTCCCATGGACGAGCTCCTCCAGTTGCGTTTCTTCGGTCGAGTCATCTAGACGGGCTCTCCCAGACCTTTCCCAGGGCGCCAGAGACGGGCGCACAGCAAACGGGGGCACGGGGAACGCCGATTTCCACGTTTGGCTATGCCCCCGTTTATGGGGCCCTGGGCGCCGTAGGCCAGGGCACAGTAAACGGGGGCATATGAAAAAGCCAAAGCCTCCGTTTAGCTAAACCCCCGTTTAGGAAGCACCGACTTTTCTTCTGGACGGTTCCTGCTGGTTGGCGTGCCCAAGGCGCTCTCATCCGGACGAGCTCCGCTGCACCTGTGCACCCGCGCGCAGTGACAGTAGACACGTTCACACGGACCGCTCACCCAGACGCGCTCATCCGGACCAGGTCGCCCAGCTGAGATGATTCCTTGAACCCTCCCTCGTGTCCTTTGGGGCGGGCGCTGTCGTTTGGGTGGGTGGTTCTCGGCAGCCGTCGTGGGTGGAACGAAGTGGCGACGAGTTGGGAACGGGTGTGCGCCAAATGCATCGGCATGGGGTTGGGATGGCGTAGAATCGGCAGCAGTGGCAGTCATTATATTTGCACCGCGCCCGCTTTCCGCGGTGCGTGTGATGGGCTTGCCGTGGCGGCGTGTTTGCGTGCAGCAGGTGATGGATCCCCTGAGCGGTTTCCCTGTGCCCACGCCCCTCTGCTTCCGCACCTTGTCCAGCCTCCTCCGCCCTCCTCCTGCTCCTCCTCCTCCTCCTCCTCCTCCTCCTCCTCCTCCTCCTCTTACTCCTCCTCCTCCTCCTCCTCCTGCTCCTCCTCCTCCTCATGCATGTTTGCCCCTGTATCTGTTTAGCATGTGATGACCTGGTGGTGGAGGGACGTCATTCTCTCTCTCTCTCTCTCCCTGCTTGTGCCTCCTGGCCCCCGCTTCTGTCCATCTCTCATCGGGCGGGTCTCCTCGTCCTCGTTCTCCTCCTCTTCTCCCTGCTCCTCCTCCTCCTCTTCTCCTTGTCCTCGTCCTCGTCTTCCTTTTCGTCGTTTCATTCGCAGTGCGGGCTCCATGGCCAGATGCCCCCGTGGGCAAATCTGAAAATCCATCAGGTTCACCTGGACAAAACCACAATGGCGAGTACACGGGCGGCTTCGCCCGAGCGAGCTCACCATAACAAGCTCAGTCAGCCCCTGGATGAGTTCACCCCTGACTTCCACTGGACGGGTTCCCGTTGGCGAGTTTTTCAGGACGAGCTCCCGTGGACGAGCTCCTCGGGAGGAGTTCTTCCGGTCGAGTGCTCCGGACGGGTCCCCCCGCAAACGATTTGAACCCGACAGGTTCACTTGGACGTTCTCACCTGGAGGTTATGACCTGGACGAGTTCACACGAACCATTTCACCCACAAACGTGTTCTTGTTGGACTGGTTCGGGCCACAGTTGGAGCATCACACCACGATGCCGTAAGAGACCCTGTGGACGACGTGTGGGCCCCGCAACCCGCGCCCGATTTCCCACGACGCAGGTAAGACCATCTCATAGCAGGCACTGTGCAAGGAAATAACTAACATCGGCGGCATCATCATCATCATCATCATCATCATCAACAACAACATCAACACCAACATCAACATCAACATCAACATCAACATCAACATCAACATCAACATCATTCTCATCGTCATCATCATCAGCAACATCATCATCACCACCATCATCATCATCATCATCAACATCATCATCATCATATTCGTCATCATCACCATCACCATCGGGACCATCATTGCCAGGATCATGATAATAACCATCATCAACATCATCATCATCATCACCATCATCATCATTATCATCAACATCATCATCATCATCATCACCATCATCACCATCATCATCATCATCATTCGCCACCACCGCCGCCGACCCCATCCTTCTCGGCCCCCAGGCCCTACGCTCCCTCCCCTGATGCTCCCACGGTCCCTGTTGCCACTTTCACCCTGGCTCTCGGCCTCCTTGTCCCCAGCCCCGCATTCTCTCTCCCACTCCTCCCTCCCATTTTCCCGTCCGCTTCCCCCCTGCTCTCGGCATCCTCGTCCTTTCCGTGCTGTTCCCGAGGTCAGGTCCATCCTGGCCAGTTTCCTATTCGAGCCGCGTCCAGCCGTGGCAGCACAGGGAGATGTGGCCGGCAGGCAGGCGAGGCCTTCAAGAACGCCGTGAGGGGAGGATGCGGGGAGGGAGGAAGGAGGAATCGTTCTTCTGGGTGAGATGCTGGCGTCGGAACGGTTGGTGGGTGCAGGGCAGTAGTGATGCAGGGGGAAAGGGGTGTACGCCAGACGCGTCGGTCCGAATCGAACAGCAGGTGGAGGGGAGGGGTGGTGGTTGAAGGGTGGGGGCGGGGAGGGGAGGTGTGGATTGGAAACCATTTTGTTTGTGCCACAGACGGTTTTCGGTCAGGTTCTGACGGGCCTGCCACGGCGTCAGGCCTTTGCGAGAGAAAGAGAGAGAGAGAGAGAGAGAGAGAGAGAGAGAGAGAGAGAGAGAGAGAGAAAGAGAGAGAGAAAGAGAGAGAGAGAGAGACAGAGGGGAGAGAAAAGAGAAAGAGAGAGAGAGAGAGAGAGATAATTGTGTATATTTACATGTGTATGTAAGGGAGATTTCTGGGTTTGTTTGTAGAGCCCCCCCAGGTTCGGAACCTGGGGGGACGACGACGACGGCGTCGTGCTCGGCGCTGTTGTCGTCATTGTCGCGTTTGCGTCGGCGTCGTGCGCGGCGTCGCTGTCGGCGGCGGCGTCGTCGCCGTCGTCGTCGTCGTCGTTATCGTTGTCGTCGTCGTCGTCGTCGTCGTCGTCGTTGTCAACGTCGGCGTCGGCATCGGTGTTGGCATCGGCATCGGCGTCGGCGTCGGTGTGGGTGTCGGACCCGGGCGTCGTCGTCGTCGTCGTCGTCGATGGCATCGGCGTCGGGGTCGGCGTCGTTGTCGGTGTCGTGCTCGGCGTCGTGGTCGGCGTGCGTGGTCAGCGTAGGCGTCAGCGTCGTTGTGGGCGTCGGCGCTGTCGGCGTCGTGCTCGGCATCGTTCTCGGCGTCGTCGTCGTCATCGTCGTCGTCGTCGTCGCTGGCGTCGTTGTCGGCGTCGTGCTCGGCGTCGTGTTCGGCGTCGTGGTCGGCGTGGTCGGCGTCGGGGTCGGCGTCGGGATCGGCGTTGGCGTCGTCGCTGGAGTCGTCATCGGCGTCGGCGTCGTGCTCGACCCCGGCGTCGGCGCCCTCGCCCCACCAATAACACATCGTATTTCAACCGTGAAAGTGTTTCGCGGCTGAGGTGCGGAGCGTAAAACATGAGAACCCCCCCACCCCAAGCGAGAAATTCATGAGCACCCTCCACCCGCTTGACGGTAGCAAGCTGTTGAGACAAGGTGCGCGGCGCCAAGACAAAAGTTACATTTGGACAGCAGCGGGCCGCGGTCAACCCTTGTCGCTGTTGCACGCTTTCAAGGAGTGTACGCGGCCTGCGGTGAGAGTCACACTTTGGCAGAGACATGTTTTCCGTCGCGATCGCTGGAACTTGTGTAGTGCTTGCAAGCTTCAATCTCACACGTTGTGGGGGAACTTCAGGCGAACGCCCGGCCCAACCTGTCCACGCGTCTGGTGGTGCGAGGAGGAGGAGGAATAGAAGGAAGAGGAAGAGGAGGAGGACGAAAAGGGTGAGGAGGATGAGGAGCTAGTCATTGGTGCAACGGCCATCCCGCCAACGTCTGCGCAGCGGTACACAGGAGGCAGCCAGAAGGAGGGAAGATAGAAGGGAGGGCGGGGCGAGGCTGCTGGGGAGGAACGGGGAGGAGAGAGGAGGGACCCACCCCCCCTTTGCCCCTCCCCTCGCGGCCCTCCCTCCCTGTGCTGTCACTGGTCCCATCCCTCCCCTTGCAGGCCGGTCCCACCCCTCTTCCGCCATCCCTTCCTGTCCCTTTCTCTCCTCCTCTTTCGTACCACGCGTCACGAAGAACACAGTCTGCTTGCTTTTGCTTGTTTTCATTTTTTTGTTGCCTGTTCGTGTGTGCGTGTGTGTGTGTGTGTGTGTGTGTGTGTGTGTGTTTGTGTGTGTGTGCTTGACTACTCCGCCTTGTCGTCGCGCGCGAGGCCGCTACCGCTCAAACAGTGTGCGTGTGTGTGAGTGTGTGTGTGTGCGTGTGTGTGTGTGTGTGTGTGTGTGTGTGTGTGTGCGGGTGTGTGTCTCTGTGTGTGTGTGCGTGTGTGTGTGTGTGTGTGCGTGCGTGTGTGCTTGTTTTTGTGCGTCCGTCTCTCCCTCCCCCACCCCTCGTGGCCCCCCGCGAGCGATTCGGTTGATCCCCATGAGCGGATCCTAGTTCCTAGTCCCCGCGCCGCGTTACCTGGGCCGGCCGCGCGCGTCTCGTCGCCCGACCTTCTGTGCCTCGACGCTGCGCGCGGGGCCGCGAGGCCCACACGTGTTGGTGTGCGTTTTTTTTGTTTTGGTCCTTTTGAGACGTCGGGAGGCTCCCCTGCAAGCTCTAGAGTCGCCCAACGATTCGGGACGAAAATCCCGCCCCTGGGATTGTGTCGGGAGTCCCGGCGGCCTTCGTCACAAAATGAACTCATTTGACGTGAGGCTCTTTCTCTCTTTCTCTCTCTCTCTCTCTTCCCCTGT